TCCAAACAGGGACCCTCCGTACACAGAGGCTCTGGCCCCTCTGAGATGGCTCCAGGTACGTGCTGGCCCCTCTGAGGGCCAGGCGTGGGCAGGAGGTCCCAGGCTATTTCACATCGAAGCCTGGTAACGTCTGGAAAAAGGGCTTAACTTTAAAAAGCACAAAAAAATGGTTACATGGATTTTATCCTTCCAATTGTTTCTCATTGGAGGCCTCATTACAATTCAGCAGGGAGAGGCGATTCTGCAGGAAATAAATTTATATCCCAACTGGATTGTGAATGACCATAAATACAACTATTCTTTGCCATGGAAACAGATAGTACTTGACAAGGGAAATATCTATGCTGAGGATTTATAGGTCAGCTCGCTAAATGTTGCTAAGCTCTGGGAGAATCCACGCAATGAAGAGCTACGCCTGGGTGATGCAGGACAAGGGATGATGGGCACAGGAGACTGCGGCTGAATGGAAAATTGTCACCTCTCAGCCCATGTACTCATCACAGCCACCAACCAGCCACATCAGCTCTGCCCATGGGACACAAACCCCGAGGCCAGCTTACCATGGCGCATCACACCGCCAACCCTGGAGGTTTAAACTTACCTGCTTGCCTCTGCACCCAAACAGAAAGATGAAGCCTGACACCAGTTGAACCTTATTTTCCTTCCTTCCCAGATCTGGGGAGGAAAGGGCTGTCAAGCAGCTATGGAAGAACAGCAAGGAAGCAGCTGTTGGTTCAGTGGCCATCACACTCCCACTCCCACGGAGGTGGAGGACGTTACAGCGTTGCTAAGGTCCCTGCTCGAGAGTCCTCCACCACAAGAAAGCAGAGCGGAGGAGGCTGAGGGACTGCTGTGACAGGGACAGCTAAAGGTGAGGCTGCACAGTGTGAGGCAGCTCAGCTCCAAGCCAGTCAGGCACTTGCTAACCAGGCACGCAGCACTGCTCTGTGTGGGCTCAGGCCTTGACTTGTCCCCAGGTTGCGGAGGGAATCTCCAAAGAGCTAGGAACTGAGTGTCTAGGCTCCCTCAAGTCACTGCCTTAAGCTCATGCCTCTTCATTTCTCCTCTCTGCCGTGCTTTATCTGCATGACCTGGGAGTGTAAATGCCAGAGAATGGTAAAGAAGGGCACAAAGTAGAAGAGAAAAAAAAGAATCACAGAATGAGAGAGAGAGAGAGAGAGGAAAAAAGAAAAAGCTCTCAGGAGGAGGCGCGCAGAGCCCACGTGTTAATGCCTGGCAGCCCTTTCTACCTGCAGCTCCAGCAAAAGCTCTGTCAGAGAGGCTTCTGCTTTAAACTCCTTGCAAGGAAATCCTGCCTGGGGAACTTGATGGGGACAATTCCCACTTTAAATCCATGCTGCTTGGCACATCCTATGCCTCTCCAGCCCCTGCAGTGCTCAAACCCCTGGGCAGGCTGCCCGGCCCCACGCGTACCTCTGGGATGTGATGGCTGAGGCAGTAGCGCCTGTTGCAGTGGAGGCAAAGCTGTCCCAGGGTTGTAACGCTGGCTTTGCAGCCAGGGAAGCCGCAGGTGTTGTCAGCTTTAATAGCAGCAGATATCAGAGCGTCGATATCTTCTTCTGCCACGCTGTCTGCTCTGCTCTTAACTGCTGGCTTTCCTGGGGAGAAGACAGGGGAGGAGACCTGGCCATTTAACCACCTGCTTAGAACCTGAGAACGGACCCAAGCAACCCACAGCTACAGCCTGGGCTAGTGAGAACCAGCACAGCTTTGGGGAGTCGCTGTTTGTGGTGACGGGGATTTCGCCATGAGACCCGTCGTGCCGGTAAACCCCAGCCTGTGTTCAAAGGCACTGGTAGGGGCTCAAGGCTCCCACCTGCAGCGTGCCTGGGTGCCTCCCTGTGCTGAAAGGGGCTGAGGAAAAGGAAGGGACCATGTCTGGCAGGGAGGACGGTAGCTCCTGGCTCTGTTTTCCCCTGCCTCTGCATTTATGAGGCAGCCATGTCCTTCAGTGTAGGTCAGGTACTCGACTTAGTTCCTCTCCCAACATTTGGGAGCCTCCAATCTAACTCCTGAGCCCCTCTTCCTGGGACATGGTCTAGCATTTTTCTTTTAAGAAATATGGCTCCAGGCATCCAGAACCCCTCTCCCCCAGATGCTGCAGCCAACTGGTGCGCACTCCTGCCAGTTCTCACATCTCTGCAATGGCAAGCATCAGAGAGCCTTGCAAGAGCCACATCCCATGCTCCACACACACAGACAAATCCTAAGGCCTGGAGGCAAAAACATGGGAATTAAGTAGCACGATCCCTTCAAGGAAGACCATTAATTGTGCCGGTTATGAAGAGAGTGACCTACCTTTGGCTTCGCTTTTGTCTTTTTTCCTGCTGCTGCCCTGAAGGCCAGCAGTGGGCTCCTGAGTCTTCCTCACTGCCTCCTCCCGTCTGGTTTTCTCCCTCTGAACTCTCTCCAGGTGCAGGGTTTTCAGGTCCACTTTCCCTGAGCCCTCACTGCTTCCTCCTGGCTCAGCAGGGACAGGAGCTTCCCTGCCAGGATGTTGTGGCTGAGGAAGGGGGAGCTGCTTGCTGTGAGGGGCGGCTGCAGGTAGCGATGGCTTGGCAGGCTCTTTCTTGCGAACGCTGATGTACCGGTCCCTCCCTTCCCCAGTGCTCACGTGCTGCAGCCCGTACTCCTCTGCCATTAGGTGAACCAGCATCCGATCGTGAGAATTGAGGGATGGAGGGAAAGCCAACTGCATCTCGCTGCTCTCCAGGAAGGCCACCAGCATGGCCTTGAATCTATCAGCACCGTCTTTTGTCCCCGGGGTCTCTCTCCCAGGTCCACTTGTGCTCAGGGAGAAACGCGCTTCTGGCTTCTGACACCCTGGTTTGGTTGCTGCTGCTTTCAGTTTCCTCCCTGCAGGCAGCAGCTGTTTGGGGCCAGATGCTGCGGGAAGCTTTGCACCTTGCTGCCGCTCGCTGCGGCCCTCCTGAGTGTAGTTTTCGGGCACGAGGTTGTCAAGGTACTCGAAGGCTGTGCGTACCTCCCCGTGCTGGCTGAAATAATCCACCAGCCGCTTCAGAAAGGCTTGGTTGCTGACGGTGCGGGTGTCACAGACGACAGCAACGTGGCGCCGGGCGCGTGTCACCGCTACGTTTATCCGCCGGTCTTCCGCAAGAAAGCCCACCTCACCTGTAAGAAAGAAAGCAAGGGGCGTAGGACTGTCAGTGGGTGAAGCGTTGGCTCCAGGTCTAGATTTGCCCTAAATGATTGAAGGGTTGCTTGGCTGAAGGGTGGGAGTCAGTGTTTACTGGGCTCTGGTCCCTGACTCATGCTGTTACCTTCATCTTTCTGCCTCCGTTTCACTACCTGCAAGGCAGAGCCAGGGCTCCCCACTTAGCTCCTGGGATCAGGAGGAGGATGGATGGCAGGTGGAGAAGAGAAATATTTTCTTGGGTGGCCCACGACACAAGATCAGGCTGGGACCTTGGAGCAAATGCAATACAGAGCAACGTGGAAAAGGCTCACCTTGCGACAGAAGAGGAACTGCAGGTAAAGAAATACACCTTGTCCTATTCAACTGCCCCGAAACTCTTGGCAGGTTTAAAGCAACGGCCATTTAGGCAACTCTGCAAGGTTTGCTTCTGCTCTCTGGCTATTTTCTCAAAGAAAAGCAGTAAGAGCTAGCAAATGCCAAGATGACTCAGTGAGGATCAGCTAGTGAGAAGGGTTGCGTGGGTGGCTTTTGAGTTTCCAGCTCCTGGGGATAAAAAGGAGGCCAGTCGGGAAGAAATTAGTGTCTCCACTGGTGCGGTGACCAGCCTGGCTCTGTTTCTGCCTTGCCTTGCCATGGCTGAGAAGTCTCGTTTGTGCTGCCTTTGAGGAACAGGGTGTGGGTGATCTCTCCGTGCTCTGCAGCTTGGAGAACGATTTCTAGTTTCTCTGATGTGGTTTCGCCTGACTGCGGAGGCAGGTCCAACTCCTCTGATCCGGCAAGGGGGTTTCCTGCTGGACGGGGAATGGCTGCAGAGGGACAGGGACTGCTGGTCAAGGTCTCTGGCCTCCTCTGAACTGAGAAATGCAGCTGCAAAAAGGGTATGGATTTCTCCCAAGGGTCTCAGAGGGTGCTAACATCTCTTATGTCCCACGCAGACCAGAGCCATGCCGAGACACCGTGAGAAGCTGCCTCGTGCCCCCAGGAAAGTGAGTGATTCCTGCACCGCATCTGAGCCTTGGCTGCTAGCTCTGCACGGGAAGGGGGCTGGGGGACGCATGCCTTCACGGAGAACACCAGCTCCCACTGAGCAAAGACGAGGTGAATCACTTATTCATAAGGACTATTCTTAGTCTTGTCCCCCACCTCCATTCTCCCGTAACACTGCCTTTCTTGCTCTAGGCTTTCTTAATAAATAAATAGATAAATAAAAATCTTCCTCCTTCCACACATTCTTTCCCCCCTTTTTTTTTCCTTCTAGATGTCAGCACTCTCAGCACATATGCAGTGTTTCATCTTTAGCAGCAAAGGTAGTGCAGCAAGGGATGTGTCTCACTGTGGGTTTGAAAAGGGCAGTGATCCACGCATGGGACAGAGGTGGTTCACGGAGCGGTCTCGCTCGTGCCCTCCACTCGAGCTGGCTGCCACAAAACCCTTCAGCACGGCCGATGGCTCTGCCAAAGGAGCCTCACAGGCCCAGGGCAGCAGCTTTTTTCCAGCTATCAACTTTTTCTGCAGCTGCTGACAGGAAAGAACTCGATTTTCCGCTCTAGATTTTGCTCCCAAAAGAAGCATTTTCTGTGCATGACTTGTAATGTTAGCTCCTGCTTGCTTTCTTCAGGGAAGTGACCCAAAATAGGCTCCAAACCCAAGAGATAAGCTCCCCCAAATTTTCACCTTTGTGGGAAGTGCTTGGCACTCCAGTAAATGTGGTGCTAACGCGACGTGCCATTTTTAGGACCCCGGTTTAAACAATTTCTGAGGCCTCAATAGCCAGGAAACTTTCAAACTAAGCAGTTCTGCCTTCCTTTTTACCTGCTGCCTAGCATGGGAGCCGCCTTCTGCAACTGTGACAGCAAATACATTTGTCCATTAAAAAAAAAAAAAGGCTGAAAAGGAAGGTTCTTGCCAGTAAATTCCTTCAGAGAGGAGTGCTAGAGACCCTCAGAACTGCAATTAAACCACAGCACTTGGCAACATGACGAGCGACCTTTGAGCAATCACGCAGTTCCCGTTTCTTCCCCATTGCCCATGCAGTAACCCTCCAGCAGCAAACTCTTACCTTTCCTGTTGGATCTCACAAATGACAGGATCACTGCCTCTTTCTCTCTTCCTTGGAAACCATCAACTGATTTAATTTCTAGCTCTGGGTACCTGCAGCAAAGGTGCTCTCTTAGCATGTCCACCTGAAAAACATGCGATAGATATCTTTTGAAGAAAAGCGCAAGGTGAAAAGGATTAAAATAGCACTGTTTTGGTAAAGTCCCTTCCTTTCAAACCCACAAGGATGAGCGCTCACTTCTCCCGAAGGTCAAGCACTGACTCCTGCGGCTGGGAGTGGAAAATACCCAACTAACACCTCTTCCCTCCATGGCCTTGAGCTGCTTAAATGTGGAGAAGTTAGCCACAAA